ACTGATATGTAAAAAAAAAAAAAAAAAAAAAAAAAAAAAAAAAAAAAAAAAATATTTTCTTCAATTTATCTTTTCAAAATTGGGTGAGCATTATATTCGGCGAAATATAGTACTTACGAAGTTCAAATTAAGTTTTAATTATTTTTTCTTTTCATTTCATTTTCACTTAAACTGAAATAAGTAAAATAGTGGTTAGTACGTTTGTTAATAGTAAAGTAACGCCCCCCCAGTGGCACAGTGGTATGTCTGCAGACTTCTGGTGCTAGAAACCGGGTTTTGATACTCGTGGTGGGCAGAACACAGATAGCACTATGTGTAGCATTGTGCTTAATAACAAACAACAACAGTAAAACAACGTTTTTTATTTATTCTAAGTGCCCCCTAGTGGCACAGCGGCATGTCTGCGGACTTACAACGCTAAAAACCGGGTTTTGATACCCGTGGTGAGCAGAGCACAGATAGTCCTTTGTGTAGCATTGTGCTTAATAACAAACAACAACAACAGTAAAACAACGTTTTTTATTTATTCTAAGTGCCCCCTAGTGGCACAGCGGCATGTCTGCGGACTTACAACGCTAAAAACCGGGTTTTGATACCCGTGGTGAGCAGAGCACAGATAGTCCTTTGTGTAGCATTGTGCTTAATAACAAACAACAACAACAGTAAAACAACGTTTTTTATTTATTATAAGTGCCCCCCTAGTGGTACAGCGACATGTCTGCGGATTTACAACGCTAGAAACTGGGTTTCGATACCCGTGTTGGGCAAAGCACAGATAGCCCATTGTGTAGTTTTGTATTTAACTACAAACAAACAACTATTCTAAGTGATGATACGAATTATTTACAATCGTCTTTCGTTGAAATGGGGCACTTCAATTTTTTCCCTCTTCGATTTCCGATATTATCGCCTTATTACTAAAAACGAGAGCAGGTTATTTTAAAATTATAGAAATCACTGACATATTAAAAATCGTGATATTGGTACAACTGTTGACCACTAAATTATATCACTGTTCATCAGGTATGGTACAGGTGTGATAGTGAATTTTTCAGAAATAGTTAACTTCTCAGTGGTAAAGAACAGGAGCATTGCAATACAAGGGTTAGAGAGGCGTAATCCTCAGTTTATAGCCAAGAGGGTAGGATTATTTGAGCCCCTTCCTCACCTTTTATCAATATTGTACCTCTTTCGTATTTCTTTGAATTACCCCCTAGTTATTTTAAAGTTTCAATTTATGTTAATCTAAAAATTAACATAAAATAATATATATTGTATCAAATACATTGTACATAATTTTCTTGTTTCCCGCGTCCTCTCGCGGCCATCCACTTAAATCATTTTGCTGCTGGCGACCTGTATAAAATGGATTAGAAGATTATAATTTGAAAAAGACTCGTACCATTGAAATACGTCATTCTAAATCTAACATTAAATAATTTCAACTGAGTTTCAGGAATTGAGTAATGATTTTTATTTAAATCAAACACATTTTTATTGACCACATCGTTATTGTTTAAATAAATTTATAATTGGCCATTGTTTAGAATATTTTACAGAGAATTGATAAAATGAGCCTAACATTTCTCGTTTTTATTTTGAAATTTCAAATAATTTAAGAAAACAATAGCACAATGAGTTAAGACACTGTATAACATACAAGAGTAATGTTTTTGTCTTATTAAGGCTTCTATCCGTCACCAAATAAAAGGTTGTGGTAAAGTTTACGAAGGTTTAACCGTCCTGAAAATATAATCGTTTATATTGCATTTACAAGAAATTTTAATCAATGCTCAGAATAGGTTTCTTTTCGGTATTCATTGTTACACATGTTCAAACCACTACATTGAAAACAACCATTAGAAACAAAAGAAAAATGACTCTTAATTGTACCCCCTTTTTTCGTTTTTTAAGCACTAAACAATTCCCCCTACACATACACACAAAAAATATATATAGTTCTGTGCTAATCGTCTTATCTGTTTCGATAATACAAACGTACTTTTTAAATATATATTTAATAGTTAATGTTGTTGTTAAGAATTTATAAGAAGGGTTATCTGCGCATGACCATTAATAACATTAAGCTGATAGACTGGAGGTACGGGGCTAATCAACAGCACTCCCCGCCAACTCTTATCTGACAGACTATTAGGATTTGACCTCCACTCTTATGGCCTACTCACTGCCTTAACGTGTAGGTTTTGGCAGCAAGAAGACACGAACCACGAATCCACGGGTTCACGGTCCAGGCAAGTTAACCTGCCTGATATTATATTAGAATAATAAGTACAACATGTTTTTTTATTGTTTTATTTTGAAGCCTTAAAAGATACATTTTCAATTCATTTTATAGTTGGAAATTTAAACAGTTCAACACAGATTGTCATTTAATAAATTTCATCGTGAAAGTATCATGAATTCGAGACTGTTTGGGAATTCGGTTGGAGCGAAAGATTTATTTGCTTCAGAGTAAAGCCACACCGGGCAAACTGTTATGTCCACTGCGGGGAATCGAACACCGGATTTTAGTATTGTAAGGAAAGGACACCGGAGGACAGTTTGCCGCAAATGACATCACACAATAATGCATAATGTAGATAAATATTTTGTTTTTAGCGTCACAAACAACCATACTACCATACAACCATCACAAACAACCATACTACCATACAACCATCACAAACAACCATATTACCATACAACCATCACAAACAACCATACTACCATGCAACCATCACAAACAACCATATTACCATGCAACCATATTACCATACAACCATCACAAACAACCATATTACCATACAACCATCACAAACAACCATGTTACCATACAACCATCACAAACAACCATGTTACCATACAACCATCACAAACAACCATGTTACCATACAACCATCACAAACAACCATATTACTATACAACCATCACAAACAACCATGTTACCATACAACCATCACAAACAACCATATGACATTACAACCATCACAAACAACCATATTACATTACAACCATCACAAACAACCATATTACCACAAATGAAAAATAAGAACCCGTTACGAGAGGTTTAACGGCTGTTTATTTGTTTATGTTTACAACACTATCCAACCTCATTGTTCAAAGAAGTTAACTCTATTTTTTATTTCCATGGTCATACCACTGTTTGGCTTTTCATTTTCACAAATAGTTTTATCTCGTTGTTAAAAGAAGCTAACCAGTTGTTGAAATTTATAATGAAAGTCAGTCTTATATCATTGTTTCTAGATGTTAAATAAAAGTATGATCTTTATCTCTACTTATTTATGTGAGAAATTAGGTTTATTTTGATGAAGTTTGTTTGTTTTTGAATTTCGCGCAAAGCTACACGAGGGCTATCTGCGCTAGTCGTCCCTAATTTGGCAGTGTGAGACTAGAGGGAAGGCAGCTAGTCATCACCACCCACCGCCAACTTTTGGGCTATTCTTTTTACCAACGAATAGTGGGATTGACCGTCACGTTATAACACCCCCACGGCTGAAAGGGCGAGCATGTTTGGTGTGACGTAGATTCGAACCCGCGACCCTCAGATTGCGAGTCGAGCTCCCTAACCACCTGGCCATGCCGGACTTTGATGAAGTTGTCTTGATAATTTTTGCAGTTTAACAGAATAGCCCCCCAGTTGCACAGCGGTATGTCTGCGGACTTACAACGCTAGAAACCGGTTTTCGATACCCGTGATGGGCAGAGCACAGATAGCCCTTGTGTAACTTTGTGCATAATTAAAAACAAACAAACTAACAGAATAGAAACGTATTACTATTAGCTCACATTTTTATTACTTCGACTTTACATTATCTCAAGTTTTTGACATGGAAATGAGTGACTGCTAAGCCTTATTCCTTGTAATGCAAGAATGATCATTTTATTAAATCCAATAGAAATAATGATTTTCTTAGACTGTGAATGTTTATACGACTAAGAATATTTTATTCCTATTTGTGGAATTTTAATAAACTTTCACCAGAAAAATAAATAAATCCGTTTTCAGATTACACTGAAAATTCTATTGTAGCCTAACACCCTCCATCCTTCAAATTTCGGTCGAAGTTCAGATATTTTGTTCTTTTTTCGAATTTATGTTTTCAAATTTTACGTAACATTAGTTTCAAACTGAAAAAACTGATTGTATTGTATTCGTCGTGTGTGTGTGGATTGTATCTGTCTGGAGTGTTCTTGACAGAAGGTTCTTGTGATGTGACTGATGAAAACAAACATTAAAACACAAGATCTCTCAACCAATGGTACGATCATTGGAGAAAAGAAACCCCGCTTGTTGCTTGAAGGTAAAGCAGACTTTGATGAATCTATTAGTTTTGCTACGAAATCTATAGGAGATACGAAAAACAAAAACAAATAACAAACAAATCGGAATGGTTAAAAGCCAGTTTCGTAAAGACTACACAAGAAGGTCTTCGGGAGAAAGATAAAGACCTGAATTACGAAAAACAACAACAACTAGAGACCGGAAATTTGTGGATGATGACAAGTTAGGCCACGGAAGGATCA